CTATTTAAGGTGCTGACAAAGAAGGTGACTGATGAGAAGGCAAATATAAATGAAAGTGAAAACAAAAGCAAACTGAGGGAAGAATCTAAGAAGATGTGCACTTGTTCTCCAACCACCCATGAAGGTTCCTTTAGGTGCCATCTGCACCGCATTCGTACAGACAAGAATTCAGTCAGTGAAAAGAAGAGCACTCTGAGTTGCCATTCCCTTAGAAATAATCACACTGTAGAATTCAAGCCTCAGTTGTCTAGGTTTGGTAAGGCTTAGCTCATGATGACGTGGGCCAATCTTCATTAGTTGGCTCTTCTTAAATTGATCTTACTTCCAGGCTGTAGAAAATAGTAGCTGTTCATAGCTGTATAGGCTCTGCACTCTCTTGATTTCTGTATTAAATAGTTTTGTCTGAATTGATGGACCTGGTGAAAATAGCCACGACTAGGCTGAATCTTTACTTGGAAAGACCCTTGCTTTTTAAAGACGTTAAGGAAAAGTCACGTAGCAAAAGATGGTTCCAATGATCTTTTCTTCTTTCTTTTAGTTCATATCTCAATGGGTCCTTCAATTTCTGTATTTGCAAAGCTATGCCATTAGAACCATTATCTGCATTTCTGGGTGTAGACACATTCACATTTAGACTTCAAAACCTTATGGAATACGAAATCTATAATTGCATCTAATGGCATAGAGTTTTTGATAACCCTATTTAGAAAGATTAGATATGGTCAAAATTAGCAGGAAGCAGTTCATTTGTAGCTGGATCTTGGTGTCTGGATTCTTCTGCAGACAAATACTTTTGTACAATTAACACAGTGCAGTTTCTTAATGTTTGGCGAACGGCAAGACAAGAAGATAATGCACTACTACCTTAGTATTTAATAGCCATAAATGAGTGCTCTGTTAAAGAAGATAATGCACATTTAAACTATCAAGAAAGTTATCAACCATTTGGAATTTTGCTGCTCTAATTTATAATGGCTCTATCCCAAATCCCTCCTAACAACACTAATGTTTCCTAGCTATTAAGAAATAAAAGTTGAAATTTCAGGTGGGTGATTTTTGTGTGAGAAATCCTTGAAATAGTGCGGGAAATTAGTAGAAGATGAATAACAAGTACAAAAATGGATGAGAATATGAATTAAACGAGGAGAGTCTTGAGAAAAGGAGGAAGAAGGAATACTAGAAGTAGGCTAGTAACATTTTGGGAAACTTTGCGATATCCTGGAAAACAAGAACATATTCTTTTTCCTTGTGTGCCAACCAAGTCTGTTGTTACTAACGTTTTAACCTGTTGTTAATCTCAGATTCACAACTAACTTCAAGAATTTAGTCATTTACCTGCATGAAAGTTTAGACAGAGTCTTGAAATCAAATCAAATAATCAATGAAAAGGGAATTGTGGAGGTGATCCAAGATGGAGAAGTGAACAGATCCGCCTCTGCTTCACAATTAATTGGAATGAAAGTGTTTTTTCTTGATTTGGTTTTTTCAAATTTTTTCCTTTTAATTTAAATTAATTGTCACCCATTAACTGGAGATGGAGAATGGTGGAAAATGCACGGTGATAAACATGTTGGTTGATATCAACAGTGAAATGAGAAAGGCCAAGATAAATGTGGAAGAAACTAGACCCCCCCTCCCTCCCCCCCTCCTCTCTCTCTCTCTCACACACACACACACACACACACAAACCGATAAAAAGTGTTTACCAATGAAAGGAAAAGATACATAAACGGGGGTAAAAAGAAACAGATATGGTATTCTTTTTAAATGAGTGATCAGAATTAATTCCATTCGGAATGCAAGATGGCTAAATATTTATAAAGCTTCTTCATTTCCACTTCCATCCCGCAACCGATTTACATTTTTTTCGTTTTGTCTAAATTAAATAATGGATATTCTTACCCAAATGCAAATCATACGATAGATTTTTGGGTTCTCTCCTAAGTACCACACACAGACATACTCTGTACTCCTTTCAACACCCAAATCAAACAAAATACTTAAATTAAGATGCCTTTCAATTATCTGCTAAACGAGGTTGATCAAGTAACAAACACTAAAATAATGCCTTAAATTAGGAAGCAAGATTAATAGAACTGGCACTACATATACATATTAAGTGAGGTCCAATGATGAAATGGTGGTTAATTTTTTTGAATTAGAGAGATGGGGCTTAGAAGTTACAAGTGGGATTGAACCTACTACTTTTCACTTATAGAGAAGCTTTCATGTCATAGATTATAAAGCCATTCACAAAGTGGTGATTAGTATCTTTGAATTAGAGGTGTAAGAACTTAAAGTTACAAGTGTGATCAAATTTTTTTAAATTAGAGAGGTAAGGACCTAAAGTTTTAAATGAGATTGAACCTATACTTCTCACTTACAGAGAAGCTTTCATGTCACTAGATTACAAAGTCATTGACGAAATGGTAATTAATTTTTTTGAATTAGAGGGGCAAGAACCTAAAGTTATAAGTGGGATTGAACCTACAACTTCCCACTTACAAAGAAACTTTCATGTTACTAGATTACAAAGTCATTGGCGAAATAATGATTAATTTTTTTTGAATGAGAAGGGTAAGGACCTAGGGTTATAAATGGGATCGACAACAAAGCCATTGACAAAATGGTGATTAATTGAGAAGAGGGTAGTGATACGCATGAAAAAGACAGTCAAAAGGGATGCAAAATGTGGGAGTAGAGTCCAAATGCAAAGAAACAGAATAAGCATGACAGGAATGAATTAATGTATGGGACCTCCTGCTCTGTTCATAAAATGGTTTTGCCATTATCTGCAAATGAATTCAATTGTTACAGATTTCCATCCCCCCATGTGATCTCTTGTCACTTTTTGCCTAATTTTTGGGACCACTCTCTCCCTAACCTCCACAAACAATCATTCTTAGTCCCACCCTTTGTTCATATAAATTATTGATTACGCTAGTGTGGTCATCTAGATTCCACAGAATTGTTTTTTTTTTAGAAAAATTATTTTTTCCCTAAAAGAAACAAGATATCTGTCTCTTTTATTTGATTTCTCCTAGTTTGAAACATCATGGGTTTAAATAACTGGAAGATTGTTTTTTTTTTGGGTTACATCATGATGGTATCAACTTTTGAACATTATCATAAGGGTTTAAAGAAATTTAGGGTGAGATTATTTTGATTTTGAGAGAATTCTGACTGTATTTAAAAATATAATAATTGAATAAATACTCTAAATTACTTATTCATTTCTGTTAATTTTGTTAATTAGAAAATCGTCTCAAACTTTATCATTTCATGTGGACTATCAATATTTAAAAGCGAAAAAAATGGACTCTGGTAATTTATCATTCTTTCATTATGTATTAACGTGAATGTTATTTTTTTTCCCCTATCGAATTACTTGTTTTATAAAACATAAATTTATCAAAGAACAGTAAATGATAAAACTTATAATATGTTGGGTACGAGACTATGAGGGGAATGAAGGGGAGGGGAAATATATAAGATAAAAGACTAAGAAAAATTAATTAAAAATTTTTAATCCTATTTTTAAATTTTTTTAAATTGAACTTATTAAAATGTTTGTATCCTCCCCTTCCTTTCATTTTCCTTATACCAACATGACAGATGTTGAAAAAATAGATTAAAAAAAAAAAATCCCGTAGTTGAAAGCGTATTTGAATTAGGAAAGTCCAAATTAAAGCTTCAAAAAACAAATGTTTACTTCATATATAAACAGTAATTTAAATCATATTTAAAAAACAAAACCATCTCCGATCATCGTAGATGTCTGTAGGCTATAGCTACCTGAAAACCCTCATATGTAGATTGTGAAAACATATATCTTTGTCGATACGTACTAATCCCTCCCTTTTCTTTAATTTTTCATATTTAGTATTAACTAGTAGGTGAAGTTTGAGTATGATTAGATCCAATTAAATATATACACACATATGTGTATATATATATATATGTCATGATATAAATTTTTTCTTATTCATAAGTTTGAACTTTCAATTTTATTTAAGAAGAATTGAGTTCCCTCACTACTTAATAACCCAATCAAAATTAGTATTATTGCTATTTTAGATATAATTCTTTGGTCACTATATATTGTGTTTTTAATTATAAAAAAAATCCTCTCAATGTAAAATATTCATATAATTGAGGAAGTCATTTTCTTTAGCAGCTACAATGGGTTAAAGCCGAAATACCTTTCCCATTGTCACAAAAAGTTGTTTTACAATTGATGAAGAAGACATGGAAAAGATGTGGCGAAAAATAACAAAAATGACATTACATACATAATATGCCAATTGAGAAATGTCAATATCTCAGATATTTCTAACTACACTTGTCCCCTTTACTTCCATTATTCTCCCTTCTTTCACACGCACACAAATATATAAAAGAAAATTTTTTCCCGGAACCATATATTCTTATTTATAAGAAACATTCATACTACTTCCGGTCCTTAAAATAAAATCTTATTTGATTTTTATTTTGGTTTTAAATATAAGACGTCAATCCACTTTGTCTCTCATATTTATATATATTTTTCCAAAGTAGTCCTTCTAACAATGATAGTTCTAGCCAATACACTTAATTAGCAATGATATTTTAAGAAAGACAACACCTATTTAGAACAAATAACTAACTCAACTTACTTCATTAATCTTTTCAAATTAGTCAACTAGCTCTTATAATTAGGACCGGAAGTAGTATTTAAAATTTTTATTATTAGTTTTCATTTTTATCTCCATTAATTATTGGTTAATCTCACTGCATTGATTACTCAATATAATGTTTCTATTTACTTGTTCTCTCACTCTTTTTCCCGTAAATAAAATTATTTTTAGAAATTAAGTTGTATTTCTTACATCTTTATTATTTCTAACCAATTTTTTATTCTATGTAATTCAGTTATTTGTATTTTATAAAGAGTATATATTGAAAGAGTTTGTATATATCTAAGTAACAATATGCACAAACAAAAAGAACACTAGCAATAATTAAGATAAACAACACTAGTTCTTCGAACAGTAATCAAACTTACACCAACCAATCACACCAAATGTGCAAAAATTTTACAGCTTATCATTTGCTCTCAAAAACACTGAAACCACGCTGCCAATAAAAGGCAGAAGGATTATTATTATTATTAGGACCCAAAACTGCTAAAAGCAAATATAAAATAGAGTCTAGCTATCAAAGAGATGCAAGTCTCATACAGATAAGTCTTACTCTTCTATATCTGAATTTCTCTTCACAGATGGATGACTGCATCATGACTGGAGAGGATCATCATGCCACTTAATATGATTAATCCAAAAGCTAACTATGATGATGATGGTGGTTTATCTATGACAGATACATCTGTAATGGTATGGGCTATTGAGAGGATCATTGCCTTCCACAGGGACTTGCTCGGCTACGCACTTGTGTTTACATCCTCTGCATTCATTGTAAGTACAAGTTGGTGCTGTGGATCCAATCATCATCCTCCTACTCATATTATTCCTCTTCCTGATCCAACGCTCTTTCTTTCCCTGGCACTCACAAATTTAATTCACAATATTCAAGTCATTTTTTTCCTTTAATTTCCTTTCTGAAGCCAAACACGGAATTAAGCATAAGCCAGCAGTTCAATAATACGTACCTCCAAACTTTGTTGTTGTTTCTGGGTTTGATCAGAGGATTGAGACACCCGTCCTTCTGTTTCTATTCCTGCAACTTTAGAGTAAAAATTCATTCTTCTGGTAATTTTGAGGGAAACCCAAAAAAAGTAGTGTGATACAGAAAAGCGAGAGAGCTGATAAATGGAAGCTTATCAATGGTGCAAAACTGAAACTGTATTCAATACAGATATACAGATAAGAAAGAAGAAGAAGAAAAAGAAGAAGACATAGATGTAAATAAAAGGCACTAGTAGTTTTTCTGGAAAGCTTGGTGCTGAAATCTGAGGGAAGCCCAGAAAAATTAGGGGTGGGTTATGGGAACCATATCTGTGGAAGCTGAAAAAACTTAAACCAGCTAGATTCAGTGTAGACGGAAGAAGAAGAAGAAGAAGAAGAAGAAGAAGAAGAAGAAGAAGGAAGGGATGAGTGTGACCTTGTAGGAGTTGAGCTGAAAGGAGTAAGGTGATGAAGAAGAGCAGAAACAGTGGTTTATTGGTGGCGGCCATTCTTGCCTTCTGAATTGCCGTAAGTTTGAAATGACCATCCATGCTGTATATTATTATATGTATATATTTAACTGATGAATGTGAAGTTTGTAGAAAGGTCGGAAAGAGAGAGAAAGGCAAGAGAGATGGGGGGAGAGATTTTTCTTTTCTTTTCTTGTTTACTTTCTTTCTTTCTGTTTTTTAAATGGCAATTAATGAGTATGAGAAATACACTGCCAACTTCTGCTGCGAGGCAGAGAAGCATTATCTGGAGGTGCTGGCCAACAAATCTTGCAATCAAGATTCTTTTGTAATTACGCAAATAATTCAATATTGTATTATATATTTTTTAGAAAACAACAAAATATAAGAATTAATTGTTATCTCATAAAAAAATTGTATTATTTATAACCTATAAATTATTTGACTCACTTCCCACATCTCATGCAATGCAAAGAAACCTACTTATACTAAATGTTTAAAAACTAGACTATTTTTAATCATAATCAGATGCATTCTACCCGGTGTTCAAAATTTGACAATAAAACCTGAACTTTTACATTTGTTTCTTAATATAGATTTCATATATTAATTTGAAAACCTCCTTGAGAATTCAGTTACACCTACCAGAGGTGTTCATATGGGCCATATGCTTGTAACACTTGCTTGAGCTTAGTAAAAATACATCTAACTTAGCTAGAAAGAAACAACCTAAAAAATAATTAGGCATTTCAGGATTAGGCAACTGTAATATATACACACACACATACATATATATATATATATTGTAAGAGAAAAAATAAGACAATGGATCGAAAACATACCGGGTCGGATCTTGGGTCGGGTCAGTCGAATCTTCTTAGCTCACGCTTAAGCTAGACTATAAAAGTCTAAGCTTTTAAGTGCACAGCAAAGCACCACTTTTGCAAGAAAGAAAATAAGAGAGAGAGAGATATATAGTAGGAAAGCTCTACTACTGGAGTGATTTGAACTGATGGGGGGAAGCCTCTATTTATAGCTTTTGTCAGGGATATTTTGGGTAGCATAAAAATATCCACTGAGCCCATCAGATAAAATCTGAGATAAGATGTAATATATCCTTATCTCATAATATCATGATATTTGAATTTAAATCTAGAATCAATCACAATTAATTCTAAATATATATACTTAATATATATTTAATCTACACAATATAAATTAATTAATTTAATATAAATTAATTAGATTTATATCGTAACCGATTGGATATGATTCAGGGTGTTTGACCAAGTCAAACATATCACAATATCGCTTGGATATTTGACTGATACATTCTCTTTATACCTGGTCAAATAATCCGGCTCATCAAGGGCGGATCCAAGCCCAAAAATCTAACATATATATTTATATATAATACATATATTCAATATTCGGCAAAGCTCACTCCCTCTGCCCCCATTTTTCCTGGATCCAGTGAAGAGTAGCCCCCCTTAGGGCTTGTTTGGCTTGAGGGGAGGGAGGGAATGGTAGGGTACGGAGGTTTTAATAGTATCTTATTTGACTAGATTAGAGAGCACGCAGTTGATGAGCATCGAATAAGGATACTATTTATTTAATTTATTTAATGGGAGCACATTTTGTACTCACTACAAGGGTGAGCATGAAATGCTCATCCCAATTTTTGAATGGTCTGGATTGAATTTAAATCTTTTATATATTTTAATTAACTTTTTGTTTTAATAGAGACATAATTTAAAATAAAGATAATCTTATAACTAACACTTTTTTTAAAAAATAAAGCTATTATCAAAAAAATTGTAAATTAAAAATTGTAAATTTAAACCTTGCATCACAATGATGAGTACAGTGTGATAAACACAAAATGAGGACCCATTAGTTTATATTTTTATGGGAAAATGACACTAAGGTCCCACAGAAGAGAAAATACTGCAAAAAGGTCTCTGCAAATCCGGCAACTACTTAGGAGTTCCGAAAGGACTTGGTTGCAATAAGACAAATCGTAAAAAGACTATGTTATTCCTATTGAAATGAAATCTGATTTTGAACCCTATTCCTATTTGCACATTGCTATCTCACTCTTCTCTCAAAAACTAGCACTAAATAAGCCCTCATCGGAAGCAAGGAACCTCAAATCTGTTTACTTTTGCCGTAATCATTGAAGATCATCAAGGTACAGGGCATCATTGAAGCTGTTTGTGGTCAAAATAAAGCTGTTGTTGCCACCATCTTTGTGTTTATCCGTGTTCTTTATTTATGGCAATGTATTACTCTTGTTTCTTTACAAATTTTTTGGGTTTAAAATGCTACATTAGGACCTTTGGGTTGGTTATTTAAGTTGGGGTTTCATTGTGGGTGGGTAGGATGATGATGGGTGCTTTGTTTTTTATTACATTACGGGTGGTTTTGCTTTGTTTTAGCATGTTTTAGTGTGAAAAGCTGAAGAAGATGAAAGTTAGTCTGGATAGAAACCTTTTTTGCAAAATGAGATATTGTGTTGTCAATGTAGGCTACGAAGTTGTCAATGGATGTCGCAATAGTTGTCAGTAGTGCTGCTTTACTTGTCAATAATAGTTGGACGATTGTTGATGCAGGTTTACATTAATGATGGCCAGTATGTCTAGGAAATATTTATTTTGCTTTGTTCATATGGGGGTGAGTTTATAAATGATGAAGATATTATGAGATACATTAGAGGTAGTGCAAGAACAAAATTATACAAGTACAGCATATCATAGAAGTTTTCATACAAGTTTTTCAAGAATAATCAACAAAAGATCATTATAAAGTGCAAGGTTGATGGTTGTCCATGATATATGGGTGCATACTCAATGGCAGCATATCAAGATATTGAGTTTTTAACCATCAGAGCATATAGAAGTGAACATATTTATCATGCACAGGACAACTTGCTTGTTTCTCGCTCGATAAGCTCAAATTTACCTTTTTCATTTATGATTGATGACTTGAGGTGTAATATTAAGAAGAGTCCAAATCTCAATAGAGAATATATTGAAGTCATCTATTTTTTGTATATAGATGTGAAAGGAATATTTTGTAAATAAGTGCGAATGGATTTTTTTTGTAAATGGATACATACTAACGGTTCGTTTAGTAATTACATGCAACTCATATGGTTTTTTTTAGATGGGTTATGAAATAGGTGTAGTTCCATGTATATGAAGATGTAAATAAAAATTGGCTATAAATTGATATGTTAGACTCTGTTGTCATTTGAGTTGTAATTATTGCACTCCGCATTGTCAATAGACTTGTTTTGACTTGTCACTGATTGTATTATGACTTGTTAATTAATCTACTGATGTAAGTTATTTAAAATGTGAATTCAAGTTATACAATGGGTTTTAGCATCATAAAATGTTTTCAATTACTCTGATCTATTACATTTTGGTTATAACATCGTAGATAATCATTATTAAAATTATATCATTACTGATATAAAATTATAAAATGAATTGTCAATAACTACATCATTGCTTGTTAATGGTGATGATAGTGTCACTTGTCATCAGCTGTACTATCATTTGTCAATATAATTACAGATATAAGTTTGAGAAAAATGTGATTTCAAGTTATATAGTGTTATTTAATGTTAACATATCCTCTGGATTAATGTGACATTTGTTAACTTTTTTTAAAAAAAACAAATCAATAAATCAAAATTACCATTTGATTTGTCAATAAGAGCAATATAACTTGTCAATGGTCACACTGTAACTTGTTAACCATGAAATCAAGGGCATAGAATTTTATCCAGGTGTTGCGGCAGATTCATCCAAGCACCGCTACACCTATTACAGAATGTCTCTCCTTTTTTTTTTTCCCCTACTTTAGAAGCTGTGGTGGATTACTTTAGACGACACGGCAGATTAAGCATTATCAACTTGTCAACAATAACACTGTGACTTGTCAATGGTGGCATTGTCACTTGTCAAGTTTTGAAAAACTCTTGTCCAATTAACATAAATTTTGGTTATACTTTCTGGTTAATATTTTTATTTTAAATTACATATAACTTAATTGAACATTTTAAATAAATGACACTTTCAATTTGAAAATTTTCAATATCATATGTTAATATCCACAGTTGACTTATTAATAAGACCATTGGAACTTGTTAAAATTTTTACTGTTTAATGTCATTTTTAGAATTACTCTATTAAACATAATTTAATTGAAAATTTCAAATAAATAACACATTCACATAAAGTAATAGGCTATATGGAATTAGATTATCCATTAATTTAATACAAAGCAATAATATTACTTGTGCACTAGTCCATGGATATTAACTACCTCTCCAATCCTAAATATAAGACCCTTATAGACACTAGTATAATGGTATTATATTTAGGACCGGAGGAGTATATAATTTAATTGTCAATACAACCACATTAAATTGTCCAAAGTAGCTCCGTAAATTGTAAGCATAGTCTCATCAACTATTTTTATCACAGAATTTAATGATTTCAATACAAAATGCCATTTTACAGGCACAATCGATATGCCCAGCTTCAGTTGCACTCTTCATAACTTGTCCTTTCTTTTATACTTGTTGTTCTTGCACTACCTCCAATATATCTCATATCATTTTCTCTATCATCTATAAACTTACTCCTATATGAACAAAGCAAAATAAATGCTTCCAAGACGTAATGGCCAACATTAATGTAAACCTGCACCAACAATCGTCCAGCTATTATTGACAAGTGAAGCAGCACTATTGACAACTATCGTGGTATTCATTGATAACTTTCGCAGCCTATATTGATAACACAATATCCTATTTCGTAGAAAAAGTTTCTTCTTCAGCTTGTCATGCTAAAACAAAGAAAAACTACCCACAATATAACCAAAAACAGAGCACCTCTCATCATCCTACCCACCCACAATGAAACCCCAACTTAAATCACCAACTCAAAAGTCCTAATGTAGCATTTTAAACCCAAAAAAATTGCAAAAAAAAAACAAGAGGAATATATTGCCATAAATAAAGAACAT